TCCATAGGACGTATTTTTCAGTAACACTGAGCAAGGTCTTTAGTTAGCATCTTAAGTTGGCCTCGACTTAATTTTCTTTGGAATCTGCCAAACTGCATTATAAAGGCCACAGCTGTTGACTGAGAAGAGCTGGCTCATAAAGAAAAGCAATTCTGATTTTCATGGGTTTTTTTCCTGCCAGGCTCTGATCCATAGAACTGGCTTGCAGAGAGAGATTCGGCTTAGAGAGACCTCAGGCCTCAACAATGTGAAATCCTTCCCTAAGCAGCTGCCCATGGCAGCTTTCTCAAAGGTCAGTCAGGATTTAATGAACTCTTCCTTCCTTCTACCAAAGACAGCAACACACAGGAGGGATTCATCTGTTTCCCACTGATGAAGACATTGTACTCCATGAGACAACGCAACAGAATTAGCTTGGCTGGGCTCCACATCCTCCCTCTAGAGACACCTGGCTTCCTGGGCAGTAGTGAAGAGAGCTCTTTCACGTGCTCCATCCCAGGCTGAGCAAATTAACCCCAGGCTTTTCAGTCTCTGATGGGCTGGGGATGAAGCTCGGTGATAGAGTGCTTGTTTAGCAGGTGCCAGGCCCTGGGTTCAACCCCTAAGTACTGCAAAACCAAACCAAATGCCCTCCCCCGACAGTCCCTGGTGCTTTCTATGTCCCTGCTGGCCTGGAATCCTCTGCACCACTCCAACTACCTGGCTAAGACCTGGGCAGCCTTCCTTGATAACCCGGCTTAAGTATCCCTGCGAGTCCACCTGGTCTTCCATGTTGTGTGTTACCTTTGAACAGCTGCTGCACTCAATTGTCTCTAAGGCACACACCGCAGCTATTAATAGTGATAGCAGCAGCCACCACTTACTGAGTGTTTAAGAACTGGCCTCCTGTTCCAAGTACATGAGGCAAAGTTTAAACGTCCATATGACCCTAAGACCAATCCCTGCCTGTAAAAACTTAAGGGTTAGAAAATTAACTTTCCCAAGGTCTTACTGAGCAGGATGTGGAAGCTCAATTAGAATCCAGGTCTGATTCCATATGATCTGCCTCCTGTCTCTGAGGGCTGGGCTCATCTTAACATCTCTGTGTGCAGTGCTAGGCTGAGCATTTAGATAGTGTCCCCTGATGGTCATGCAAAGGGGCTTAAAGTTTAGCACATGAAAACCAGGTAGAGGGAACAAGGAGGAGGGTTGTATTGTAATTTGTCTATGAAATGCTGATTAGGGAATTATAGCCTATTAAGTGTAATATCTCAAAAAACCCTCATATGAATACCTCATGTAATAATTTAGATAGAGCATGTCATATATTAAATTAGCAAGGAATTTTTATGCCAAGAAAGAATTATACATAAACAGATAACCATAGATAATATTCTATACACATCTGAACTTCATAGACTTCTAATGATTAGTCATGAATAGAAAGATGAGGCCATCTTTTACATTACATACCTTCTGGGATACACTGTCCAAGAACAAATTTATACCCTTTGCAGCACTTTTTCCTAAGAGACAAACAAACAAAAAGGCATTTTAATTATGATGACTATGACATTAAAAATAAAATTGGTTTTGGTTATTGTTTTTGAGTGAAAGAACTTACGCCCAGGAAAAACTAAGCAATAGAGATGGGATACTTTTAAGTCATTTAAAATTAAATGGAAAAATATTGCACAACAGGACCACAGGATCTGACACAAAACACATGAAATCAACCCTCTGAATGCTGTGAAGTAATGACCTGAGATGTCAAGGTACTTACACTATAAAAAGAACGATGACAACTTGAGCTGCCACCTATCACCAGCTAGAGATTTCACTTTTAATCTAACCAAGTAAATTGCATAATAAAGGAAAAATATCCTCTCCAAGAACAAGATCACAAAGATGCAGGGTCTCTACAACATGTGCAATGTGTGACCTTTTCAAAAGGGAAAACTATCAGTGAGTCAAACTCCCAGAAAACCCATCATATTGGAATGATCAGACATTAAACTAGCTATTAAACTAATTAACTATGTTCAGTGACATAGATAAAAATATAATGAATTTAAAAAGCAGGAAATCTCAGAAGAGAAACTATTAAAAGAATATGGAATTCCTGGAACTGTAAAATGTATCTGAAATTTTTTTGGACAAAATCTAATAAGGTTGAAGAATGGAGACATGATCCAGGAAAGAACTAGTAAGTTTGGAAGCAAATTGATGGAAATGATCCAATATCAAGCAAAAAAAAAATTTAGATATATTTTATAAATGGAGACTCAGGGTCATGTGGGGCCAGTATCGGAGGTCTAACATAACATTAACCAATATATGGTTGTTTGGAATTCCAAAAGGAGAGCAGTGAATGGAGTGGAACAAAGTGCTTTAAAAAAAAAAAAAAACACCTGAAAAATTCCCAAATTTTGTCTGAGACAAATTTGCAAATTAAAGTTTAGCAGATACTCAATAGATTAAACACATTCTCTCTCTCTCTCTCTCTCTCTCTCTCTCTCTCTCACACACACACACACACACACACACACACACAATCCCTAAAGACATCATAGTCATACTGCTCAAAACAAAACTTTGAAGATGGGAGAATTATGTATCATATTCAGAGAAAGTATAATTTTAATGACAACGAGCTTCTCATTAAAAAAAGAAAGTACTGGTAGCCAGAAGAAAGTGGTATGGCATTTAAGTGCTGAAAAGACAAACCTGTCTTTATATCCAGTGAAAATAGCCTTTAAGAATGAAGATGAACTAGACATTTCAGATAAAAGAAAACTAAGAATTCATTACCAGATCTGCAAGACAAGGAATGCTAAGGAAAGTTCTTCAGGCTGAACAAATTATACTTGAGGGATATGAGCTACAGGAAGGACTGCAGAACATCACAAGTGGTAGATATCTGGATATATGTAGAAGATTATTTTTGCTCTTAATTTTTATGAAGTATTATAATATCTTGTAAACTTTATAATGTAGATGCGATAAAAATCATAACTAGGGGGAAACAGACCTATATGGTTACAAGTTTCTACATTTTACCTGAAAAACATCAACATTTCCACTGGAACTGGAGCAAATGTCCCTATGCGTCTCCCTGGCTCCTGCTACTTTCCCTTCCCGTCTCTCCCAGATGGAGTCCATGTGAACTTTCTTTCACCACTTCCAACATCACAGAGGCAGAGTTACCATATTCAAGTCATCTTCAAAACTCAAGAATACACTCCAAGTTACCTTGAATTGACATAATAGCTAAATTAAAAAAAAAAAAACCTGCTTCTTTGTAATAGAAGTCAGATGCAAGGTTACTGCTATAGCAATGTCAGTCTCACTTTTGTCTGGACACACTGTCTAGGTGGAAAAGAAGCTCAGTTAAATATAGTCTAGCAGCTAGGTGTGCAGTTGGCATGCAGCATACAGACCACTGGAATGAATATACTACATATATGATATAGTGGAGAAAGATGCACAAACAACTGATCTGGGAAATTAGGTATGTCTGCAGATATACTGAAGCCAGTTCTCACCTTCAACAAATGGTCAGAATGCTCAACCAGGTTACATTAGGACTTCTATTTAAGAATTTTTAATACACCTAATTTTTTAATCATTTTTTTTTTACTTTTGCAAATTTGCATAATTATTGGTCAAATCAATTTGTATCGACTGGTGACTTACCATTCATAGGAGAAACAATCTTACTATACAAAATTAAATCCATGATTTATAAATCTTAAGAAAAATGAAATTTACAATTTAAAAAATGAAAATAAAATGAAATTTTATTTTCCAGGAGAATTTTGCAGCCCAATTGGGTACAGCTACACCACTCCATTCCCCTCTGCAGCATTTCCCACATGCAGCCCAGCTGTGGGAGAGATCTTACTTCAAAAGCAGAGAAGAGTTTTCAAAAGGAAAACAGTGGCATTTGGGATGCTCTCAAAACACGGTTGAGTGAAACAGTTAAGGTTCTCCTGCCCCCACCCATACATTTTCCTGCCTATACTCATCTTCCAGTATAGATTTATCTGAATCTTTCTTCAGCATATGTACCCATCTAATTTACTGATATTAATGACATGTGGCGAGGTCCAGAATTTAGGCATAATTTCCTAACATCTCCAACTAAAATATAATCTTACATGCCCAAGGGGGTTATAAATGATGCTGATGATTTGCAACAGACGTGGAGAATCTACCTTTACAATTTGTGGGACTCAAACTCAGCCTAGTTTTCCATGTTTTTTAAAAAAGCTCCTAGCAACCAAAAATTGCTAAATTTTTAATGAATGCTCTATAAAGCCAGTTATTACCTACTATATTACTTGGGGCTTTCTTGCGGACAGCTCCAAGAGGAAGAGCAACGCACTAGATGGTCAGAAACTCAAGTGATCCATGAAAAATTCAGGCACGAAACACATGTGTTTTTGATTCTCAAATCTCACGCCACATTTAAGCATGTGGTTGTATTTGCCCGTTTCTATTTAAAAGCTGCAGCTAAGGTACAGTGTCAGATGTTTAAAGGCATTTTAAAGTTTATAACAACTGGATACGACCCTTACACTCTCCACATCCCAACATTGAACTTGGGCACTGCGACTCTTGAGCATTTTGAGGACTTGAAATTGCCCACACAGTGGTACCAGAAGCAACCTGCCATTTGCTTTTTTGTGAAATTGAACGACAGTGATATGATCTGACATGCTTCTAAAAGGCTACAGATCTCTGTCTGAAAATGGAACTTTCTGGATGGGCAGGTATCATTTACCTGCCTGGCTAAGAATGAACTTCCCCTTCGGATTTTCTCTTAATTGCACACTGACCCAGCTCTCTGCTCAAGAGAGGAGCAAGATTCCAGTTCAAGCTCCTGCCTTCCTCAGCGTTCCTGGGCACGCAGTATTCTGCATGTTAAACATCCAATCATAATTCGCCATTTAAATAAATAATGAAATACAAGAAAGTCTCAAAAATAAACACTGGCTGCATGTTATACCATTTCAAGGATGACTTACAACATTATTTATGTATAACAAAGTTGAGACGGCCAAAAGGAAATCTTGTCATGCAAGCCAGGGCACTTGTTAGATCTCAGTACAAACACCGCTGTGCAATTTTTATCTTCAAGGAAAACAAATGAAGACGAGGAACACTTACGAGGACTCTGGGAGGCTGTGGTTCTTAACATGTGTCACGTGTTGGGGCTGGCTTTTCCAAATGCAAATGTTTCTCTCATTTCTTGGCAAGGGAGGCTGCGATTAGATGGCTGTTACATAGAAAGGATGACTCTGGTAATTAAGAAGGCCTGGGGAGGCTTCCTTTGGGTGCCCCTGAGAACTGTCAGTTTAAAAAAAAAAGAAGGGGGGTGGGGGCAGCCAGAAATACAGCCCATCCGCAAGGTGTGATCGTGAGCTTTGGGAGGGGAAAAAACTAAACTTGAAAAATAAAGATAACAGCATCATACTGGATCACTGGAGTCTAGAGAAGATTTTTTTTTTTTTAAATCTTCTACAGAATTAGAGGACTAGCAGGGACCAAAAAGCCAAGTGAGTCAGTAGATAAACTCCTGCCACAACAGAAATTTTCCTAAGCTCTCCTTGGATTCCATTACATAACTGCCTACTTACGCACCTAGGTATCAGATTGTTTTAAAAAAACGAGAACTGTATTTTTGAGAGAATTTTATAGCTCTTGGTGCCAAGCCATTTGTTGGATTTGGGGCCCAGCAAATTTGGTTTTACAATTCTGTCTCTAACATTTAACAAGCTGGCGATATGACCTTAGGCTTGCATGACCTTAGGCTTGCTTCTTAAATTTGCCGAGTTTCAGACATGTGGATAAAACATGGATGAATAATATTTGTCTTATAGGAACGCTGCAGGGATGAGAAAGAATATGATGAAGGAGCCTAGCGTGGGCCTGGCTTGGGTAAGAATCGTGTTCCGGCTGCAGCTTTTTGCAGACAGCAAAAGCAACTGTTCTGCCTGCTCTCACCTCACAACCAACCTTTCTTCCACTTCTTACTCAATAGCGGTCATTTCTCTCCTTCCAAAACCAAGATGGGGCCATGGAAGAGGAAGGAGAGAAACTTTTGATTTCAAGACGGCAGAAAAGCAATTTTTTTTAAGCCACCTGCTCTTTTGTTAACTTCAAATAATAATAAACTCACCAACGGCATGCTCCGCAGATTTAGGAAATTAACTCTGAAACACAATATATGAATGTGGCAAATGGATGAAAAGTTGGGAGTGGTTTTGCAGAGAGGAGTAACTTTAAACCTAGGTGCCTCCATAGATGGTTACCATGGAGAAAGAAGCTAAGCCAGCTAGCAAAGAAAGTGAAGGCCAGAAGACAGTGAGGTGACCTGAAAATCTGATGAAAAGCTAGACTTCAGTTCCCTCTCCAGTTCCAAGCAATTGGCCAAACATTCTTTGCCTACTAATGCAATCAAATTGTTTTGGAAAATTGTACCTCGTTCCAGGCTATGGGACACCAAGCCAGAGCATAGACACACAGAATTTCCAGATACTGTTAAAGAAATCCTTCCATTTAGTATTTCATTCCAACAACAGGCTCTCCTGAATAGCTTTTAAAAGAGCAAGAGATTAGAACTGAGTAGCCAAGAAAGCCCTTAACGAGCATGACACTTAAAAGTGAGAAAACCCCATTTGCCTGATTTATTTTATCATTCCTACCATCCTGAAGTGTGCCTGAGAACAGTCCATAGGAAACTTCGGCCAGGAAGCACACAGAATATGATCCCTTAGGGATTATTTTAAAGAGCTGAAGATTTAAAAGTGAATTCTGAATTTCTTTGTGAAATTCCTTACAATGAACAATCTTTCCTCTCTTCCTTTTACCTTCTCCCTTTCCTGCAACCTTCACTGAACCTCGCTCAACTTTGTGGGAGCTACCACAATTCCTTTTACATTAGAGTCCTGAGAACAGAAGTGAGTGAAACAACTCACTCAGATTTGGGTGTGCTTGGCCCACTCTTTTAACCAGAAAGAGGATTCTTCCTAGGCAAATGTAATAGTCATTCCATATCAAAATCACCAAGGTAAACTCAAAGGCAAACCAACCCCCCAAACTCATTGATTCATCCCTATGTGCACTTGTTATTACAAGTCCTGGGGTCAATGTTGGAAGACTCTTAATGGGCATTTTAGGCCTAATCTGCTTGTATACACAATTACTGATGGTTAAGGTCAATTGAGGAAAACGGTATGGCGGTTCCTAAAGACTGAAACGGTCACCATATGATCCAGTCATTCATTTCAACTTTCTCCAAAGAACTGAAAGCAGGGGCTCAGATATTCATAACAGCCAAAAGATGAAGCAACCCAAGTGTCCATTGACAGGGGAACAGATAAAATGTGGGAAGGAAGTCTTGCCGCAGGCTGCACCCCAGGGAGACCTTGAAGGCACTGTGCTCATTCAAATAGGCCAGGCGCAAAAGGGCAGCGTGTGAATCTGCTTATGAGATACTTACAACAGTCACATTCAGAGACAAGGTGGAACAGCTGCTGCAGGGACGGTGGGTCAGGGAACAAGGACTTTCTGTTCAATGAGGTTACAGTTTCAGTGTGGGCAAGTGAAGAAGTTCTAGAAATGGAGGGTGGTAATGGTTGCAGAACAGTGTTAAGGTACTTAGTGCTACAGAATTATACATTTAAAATAATCAGAATGGTAATTTTTTAAAATCTATGCTGCTATACATCCATGTGATTAAATGAAGAGGCAGCACAGTTGAAGTCATTCTTCTAAACTTTAAAATCCTTAGTCACGGTGTCAGCTGAACCATAGTCATTTGAATTATGAGGGAAAAATTTAAGTATTTGTGGGAGAATTACTCTTTGATGGGGGCAGGAAAATAACTAGAAGATAGGAATTCCAACAAGACTGAAAGCCATGTTTTCAGCCAACAGATATTCATCACATACTTAGAAGAGCTGAGGGTTAGGGATCTGGGCCTTGGAAATGAACTTCCAGGTTTGAATCCAGGTTCTCTACCTTCCTCCGATGGGCTCTATCTCAATTTCCTCATCAGTAGAATGGGACAGCAATAGTACCCAACCTACAGGTGAGGGTCAACAGGCTCAACCCACCAAGACCTAAGTGAGGACTGGCACACATCAAGCCCAACAGAAAAGCTACCTGCTGTGTCCCCACCCCAGCCCACATCAAGGACACCATGCTGCAGCAGAGCGGGCAGACCAAGAAGTACGCCTGCCAGGGTGACGCCTGTCA